AGGTCTTGGGCCAAAGTCTTGAATCTATTTCTCGCTCCTTTCCATCCAATTAACAGGAAGGATATAAGAAAAAGGAAAATAATTGCTGCAGGTCTAAGTTAAGAAAACTCAGATAATTACTTATCTTTCTCCACACTTCACTTTAGAAAAGTCGGATGGAAAAAAGAGACATGGATTTCGACCCTTGTGGTCTTCGTCAAGATGGCAATATTAGGTGACTTTAGTATCAACCCCGGATTAGAGGAAAATAGACTCAAATGACAAGAAAAGGTGCTTAAAATTCTCCATAACTATGTATCACTATCTGGAAAGAAGAATCCGCTTACCACGAAGTCCAGCGCGAGGTATAAATCTTCGTTGGTAGGCTGGAAATATCTAGCAAGTAAATGATTGAAATGTATGTAGACTCTGAGCAAAAAATAGAGTAAAAATTTTAATAAATACCTTAAAATGCTCTTATCTTACAAAGTTCAATTTATTTTTCTAAACAAAAAGAGTGTCAAGTTTTTCATGTCAATATTTGTTATTTGATAATTAATTATAACAATAAATCTTTTGTTGTAATATGGTATTTTTCGTAATGCTTTATTAGGAATATAAATTCTTTTTATGATAGAGAAGAAAGTGCTATTTTGTTTCTTTTAAAGTTTATGGACTATTTTTTTAATAAAAATTTATGGACTAGTTTAGTGGTGGAACTATCATAATTCGGTAGTGATTTTGGGCCATTTTGTTTTAAGCTACAAAAAAAAATTGGAGGATATTAAAAGTTATAAAAAAAATATTACTAGTTTAAAGTTTAATTTGGATAGATATTAGGGACAACATTGATAGTTCTTCTATACTTCCAATGAGATATGAGAGAAATGAATAGGAAGGAAAAAGGTAAACAAAATAATAAAATCCATCCTTTGCATAAACATGGCAACAAAAGAGTCTTATTAACAATATTAAGGATAGTATTGTCATTTTAAATGGACAAGAGAGGTAGGTGTAATTTTTAAAACCTTAGGGAAGCCAAGTGAAATTATTAGAAACCTCAGGGGAGGTTTCTGAAATTATCCCGTCTAATTAACATAAACGCATCTATCACACACTTGACTCAGGCTATGTTACAGACTTTAAACTCCTTGCATTTAAGTCCTCGGCATTATTGTTGAAGTCTTTTTTCGAAAATAAAGATTTTGGCATCATCCAAGTAGAAATATGATGGATATAAGAGTAGAAATAAATTAAAATCTCAAATTTTGACACTTTTTTATTATTGAGGGACCAATTCAATATTTGAAATAGATAAAGGACCAATAGTCTGATCACTGGAATGGTTAAGGGGCTCCCTAAGTGGTTCACCCCAGAAAATAAAAATCCAAACAAGTTAGTTTTTAACAAAAACAAAATTTAATATTGAAGTACAATTATACATAGTGCGAAAAAAAAATCTATGAGTTCTAAAGTTTTTGAAGACATTACACGTACAGTATAAATTGCAAACGATCCCATGATGTTTTTTTTTAAGAGCATGTTTACGTACAATAGTTAGTCTTGAATCTACCGTTACACCAAGAAGACGTTCTCACAAATTTTGTTTTAGATGAATCCACAAAAGTGAATGTTAGATTTTCTATGCATTTGTTGGGGAAATTCTAGTAGCATGGAGCCATTTACGATTCTGACCAATGAACAGAAGTATACAGGCCGTCCACGGTGAATCTGTCATCTTCTATGCTGGACCACGGTAATGGTTAAGCGTGGACTGGATTCATACGAGAGTATTATGGTCCAACGCCTTTTAGTCAATTAGAAAATGCAAACTTTAAAAGCTTCCCTTCTCAGTTTGTGGTCTTTCTTGAAAGGAAATAGCAGAAATAAAATGAATAACGCGTCAATTCTTGACTTGGGACTGGGTGAGAAGTTTTTTGGTGCAACTTTTTTCTTTCCACATAATAGACTGGAATCAAAATTGGAATTGAAATATAGATTTCGACCCTTATTGTCTTCCTCAAGATGGCAATATTAGGTGACTTTAGTATCACCCTCATATTAGAAAAAATAGACTCAAATGACAAGAAAAAGTGTTTAAAATTCTTCATAACTATACATCACTGTCTATACATCACGAACTCCAAGGTGAGGTATAAATCTTCCCAGGTAGGCAGGTAATATCTAGCAAGTAAAGGGTTGAAATGCATGTAGTATCTGAGCAAATTAATAGGTGCATAGAAATTTATTTTGGTCAATTTCTTTCTTTAAGATATATCAATAGATAGCACTGGCTGTAGGTTATTTCTTGCTAGTCGCTGCATACACAGACAAGCATGTTTCGATTCATTATTGTTTGAAATTTTTTTTACTTGAATCACAAATAAATTTTTTAATAATTTTTTTGTTATCTCAACCATTATTTTGTCTCATATACATCATATAATAAGAAAGTGTCATAATAATTATTCTAAAAATGTCATTATCTAACTCTAGAGTTAAATGCAATTGGTTCGTTATGCACTTATTTGATTCTCTGACAGTTTATTTTTCTAGTTTTAGGTAGAATTTCATTGTCTTTATCCCCTCTCTTTTCTTTGATTCATCCTCCACTGATAACCTTCTAAATCTAAAATAGATAATAAATATATTGAAACTGGCTCTAGTGTAGTCTAATTAACCTAAACGCATTGATCATACAATTGACTCAAGTCATGCAATGCACTACAAATTCCACGTTTTAAGTCCTCAGTATTATTGTTGAAGTCTTTCGTCGAAAGTAAAGACTTTGGCATCATCTCGGTGGAATACCCTGCAATTGTTGCATTTCAAGTGATAGTGATCTAAGCTGACGAATACCAAGTTTTCTTATTAGCTGGTTGCTTGGGTTAAATTCCTTTTAAGACAAAATGAGCAGAAGGTACTAAGAAAGTGCTAAGGTGCCAAGTCCAATTTGGGCTCCAATTCGAGGGGAAAAAGACATGTTGGCTGTGCGGCACAACCGCAGGAATAACGCTTTAGACTTCGAAGTCTAATGGATCCTTTTATCTTGATAAAGTAAAATTTACTCTAGTATTGAAAGTAGTTCAATGTTTTTTTCCATATTTTTTTTAGTACAGTATCATTATAACTTTTCATCCGGGCTCTTTTTTATTTGTTTATTTATTTTCAAATTTTTTATACGAGGATAGTAAGTTGTCAAATGTTTCACATAAAGTTAGTAAACATGGAGAAATATACATTTACCCCCATTGTAGGATAATTAACCATATCTAATTGAGATTGGTTTTTCCCCCCTAAATATGTTGCATTTTATCCTTAGTAGTCAGGGTATAAGGAAATTTTAAAAATTGAGAAAAGTTTGTATAAGGAAATTTTAAAAACTGAGAAAAGTTTATCAATAGTACGTATTGTTGAAAGATAAACAAAATTACTTAATATTCGAATCGAGTTTAACTCAATAAGAAATCATTTGACTTTGGTTCGTCAATTAATCAAGACAAATATGAATAGCATTTTGCATTCAATAAAGTTTACAACTCAGCTTGAATTTGATTTGATTAGTATGAATCTTGAAATATACGCAAAAAATTCAATCTATTCAATCTTGACTCAAGTTTGCCATAATAAAAGCTTGTTTCAATTCGACTCAATGTATAAGTAAGTCAAAGTTGAACATAATTTTGACATATTAAAATCACTAAGTAAGTTTAAACATTAGATTATTCGGCTTGATTAGATTTTTTTTTACATCCTAAAGCATGGAGTGCTACATTGGATTTATATATTGCATGTTTAGTCACAAAAAATGCATCTTCTTCTATCCTATATATTGATGTCCAACACTTCTGCCTCTGTTTGCAACTGGACTGGAATCACTTGTACTACTCGTCATTTATGGTACATATTTCTTTTATTTTAAAGTTTTTAACTATTAATACAAGTAAAAAGTAAATAAATAGAACATTTTAGCCATTAATTATTCATGGTGTAAAACAATAAATTTGAAAATTATGCGAAATTTGAGAACAGCTATGAAAAATATAAGAAGCCTAAACATGTTTTGTGAAATAAAAAGTGAGAGAAAAAGTGAGAGAAAAAGAAGAAAAATAAGTTTAATCAGGTTTTGCATGTTTTCTATTACAGAATTCCTACTACACATCCAACACAATTTCAATCTAATTTGCAAATCATTTCATTTTAAAACTCTTAGTTTTAGTATTTATAACTTGAGGTACTATAATGATCCAAATTCGAATTATTATAGACCAAAATTCAAAAGTCAAAGCGGATGACTAATGGCAATTTGATTATTACTATTGGTAAAATCAGAAACATTGAGAATCAAATTTGTTTTAGTTGAAATATTAGGACCATTTTGGTACGCTAACCAAACATTGATGATTAATAGTGCATTTTTTGCTTTATTTGATTCCGTGAGTTGGGCTCACAATCACATATAGGGGTAAATGTAATTTGGTCAACCGCAGGGCTCATTTGGTCATTTAATAACCAAAAGATAAACCCACTTATGCCGTAGACTAGAGTAGTTCTTGGCAAAAACTTGTGTTTGGACACAATGGCCCATGGAGGCTTAGGACACTTGCTCTGCATCTTCTCTTCTTTTATCCTTCAATTTATTTTTGTATAGAGATTTTCAAACACATAATAATTTTAGCTTGGCTTGGAGTAGTATCCCTTTCATCATTCCTGGAAAATTGTTATACTCAAAATTCAATTTTGCCACATAGAATGCTAAAGCACCGGAATTGCTTGTCATATCAATTGCTCAAAAGTTGAACAATACATAAAAAAAGCTATATTAAAAACATAAGTCTCAGAGGTAGAATCAAGCTATATTAATTCACCAAATTGAGAAACAGATTTTCCAAAACCTTGTCACTTCCTCGTGGAAACATTTTAACTCAACCCCAAGTATATGCCTATATAAGTCCTGCCCAATGTCACAATGTATGCTCATGTTTAGCATTCCTCAAGTTTTATTTACCTCTCCATAAGCAATGCAGACACCTTATTTTCTTTTTGTTGCAGCCTTGGTCCTGTTGCACTTTATCGCAACTAGCTCAGCTAGCATAATTGTAGCCAACAACCAAAACAACACTGTTGATCTGAATGCTCTTCTTGCCTTCAAAGCCGCCATTTTCGATCCCCAAAGGATCATTCCAACCAACTGGTCCACTTCTACCTCTGTTTGCAACTGGATTGGAATCACTTGTAATGCTCGGCATCACAGAGTCGCAGCCATCAACCTTTCTTACATGGGAATTGTAGCAACCATACCTCCAGAACTGGGAAATCTTTCTTTTCTAGTCTGGCTAAATGTTAGGAATAACAGCTTTCATGGACATCTTCCAACCGAGCTATCTCGTCTGCGCCGATTGAAGTACATCAACTTGGAAGGTAATGCCTTTGAGGGCGAACTTCCGTCATGGTTGGGAGGTTTAACTGCACTCCAATACTTATCCTTCCGAGAAAACGGATTTTCAGGTTCATTATCAGGCTGGGTTAGAGACCATCAGGTTGGGTTTCAACTTTTTTACTGGAAATCTTTCCGAAGAATTCAGCGCTCTACCGAAATTGACAGTTTTGGACATTCAACATAACCAACTTGCAGGCCCTCTGCCACAGGCTCTGTTTAACCTCTCCTCATTGCAAATAATTGGTTTTACGAATAATAGCTTATCGGGCTACCTTCCAGCACATATCTGCGATCATCTCCCACAACTCCAAGGGCTTTACTTCTATGTTTTCAGAATCGGACCGGATAGTGACTCGGCCGAGGTCAGGGGTCAGGGGTCAATGGGTTCGACCGGGGGTTGATAGGGGTCGAACCGGATGACGTCATAAATAAAAATTATTTAAAAATTAAAATATTATATATATAATATCTAATAATATATTGATATTAATAAAGGTATATTCATATATATTTGATGTTTCAAATATATTTAACAAGAAAATACAAAAAAATTAGAACAATCAAGTAGCAATTTATATTATTTAATAAATATTAACAAGTTAGAATTAAAATTATGAATTTAATTGAAAAATAACATCAAATTTTAGGACAATATTTATAAAGTATCAAATATTTGAGGTATATCAATAAGTTTTAACAATTTAGGGGGTCAAAACATAATATTAAAAAGTTTGAATTTTTTTTTTAAAAAATTACTGTTGAACCGAAAAAATCGATTTTTTTCCGGTCAAACCCGATTTTTGACCGATTTTGACCGAATTTTAAATTTTCGGTTTTTTAATATGACTCGGACCGGCTACCTGGCCGGTTCCCGGTTCGACCGGCCGGTCCGGTCCGAGTTTTAAAGTAGAGCTTTACTTATCACTTAATAACTTTGAAGGTGAAATTCCATCAGGCATCGGAGAATGCTCAGGACTCCAAGTTTTATCCTTGTCTTACAACAAATTCCGAGGATATATACCAAATGGAGTTTGGAATCTAACCACGCTTACCAAATGGTGTGAACGACCTGACAGGTAAGCTGCCAACTTCAAGCACCAATAGATTTATTGCTTGTAGGGTTGTGAGTTTACATGCTTATGTGTGGAGAAACACTTCAACTTAATGTTTAAGTAGACTGGATATAAGCAATGATTCCTTCTTTTCGGCCCCATTCTGTACGTTATCTTTATTTATTTCAAACTGAATTGTTAGTTTGCAATGTTTTGATGTTTTTGTATGTCAACTTTTTCATCTTTATTTTGTCAAAAAAAGTAAAATTTAAAATATTCTTCCTTAATCAATCAAAATTTGCAACAACATTATAAAGTAATAATTAGTTATAGCCGGCAATTGTCATCCAAGACTAATTTATGTAAGTTTATTGTGTAGAGTACAAATTAAGACTGAAAATCCATCATAACCCATTGAAAATTGTTCAAAATCCTTTTTACCCATTGAGAAATTTTCATTGGGTTTAAAGGATTTTGAGACTAGAATCATAATTGCATGAAAAATTTACATCACATACTCAAAGCATGGCGAACACAGAGTGATCTTGGATTAACGCTATGTATGTTAATGGGGCAGAGTTGTCTTTTTGTCATTTCCAAAATTGTCAATGAATTATACCACATGTGAGATACAAAAGTGTTACCATGCTTTGGTTACAAAAGTGGTGTTGTTGTGACTAGATTGAGTGAACACAGAGATGATTGAGAGAACCGAAAGTGCGGAGCTTTTGTTATGGTGGGCAGAATTGGGGAATTGAAAAAGTAACCAATCATGGGTAGGAGGGAAATGATAAGAGCAATTAATTAAACCAATCATAAGAGCAATGATTATTAAATATTAAATTAATATTTGTAAAGGAGTAAACGAATGGTTAATTAATTAGTTGAGATGGAATATTTGTTGAAGAAATGATATGACGTTGTTGCATGATTGTTCATTATATTTGCAGGTATAACATAAAGAAATTTTTAAAAACTGCATTTGTAATGGTATTAGACCAAATTAATGCAAATGAATTGATGACATAATAACCAGAGTGCATATAGGAGAAATTTAATTAGATCATATTTGTCACTTTTAAATTTTCAACATTATCATCACAATCACTTAATTATACTTTTTATCATCGGATTAACGTGTTGTCTATGTATTGTCAACCAATAGCACAACAAACTTTCACCGATAACCAACCACAAACAATATAATTACCAAATTCATTAAAATAATATTAAAAAAGCTTTTAAAAGATCAAAGTTTTTTTGTTTATTAAAATTTTATACAAATTTCTTCCATATAAAAAGTGATTTTTTTTAATTGCACGTAAATTGAATGTGCCCTTTATCTAGTAATGCTATTGGTATTCGTACTAATGTACACATGCTTGAAATCAAATATTCATATTGATTAAACTATATAGAAATACAATTAAGAATATTTTTTAATAGGTGTAAATAAAATATATAACTTCTCATTGTCTATTCTAAAAGTAGGGCAACAAACAATCTTCACATTTTTTTCTTACCAATTTGATTTGTCAGGTATAATACCTCAAGAGGTTGGTAATCTTAGCAAGTTGGAACAACTAGGCTTGGCCGAGAATAGATTGAGAGGTCCCATCCCGCTGAAACTTTTCAATAGTTCAACTGTACGAGTTATTTCTCTCGCGGACAATGATTTATCAGGCGAGCTTCCATCAACTATAGGTGTTTTCTTACCCAATCTTGAGGAACTCCACCTTTGGGGAAATGAATTCACTGGAACTATACTAACATCTATCTCAAATGCTTCTAGGCTCAGAATGCTAGACCTTGGAAGTAACCATTTTACAGGTGCAATTCCTCATTCTCTGGGAAACTTGAGATTACTGGAACATTTAGGTATATCGGGAAATGATTTTTCTGAGGCCTCGCTATCCAAAGAGTTGAGCTTCATCATATCCCTGTCAAACTGCAAACATTTAAGGAGTTTGTGGATAGGTGAGAATCCTCTGAATGGCTTCCTCCCAAAGTCTATCGGAAATCTTTCCAGCTCACTCGAATCCTTTCATGCAGGTAGTTGTGGAATCAAAAGTGAAATTCCAAGTTCGATTGGTAATTTGAGCAACTTAATAGAACTATTCTTTCAAAAAAATAGTTTGACAGGGTTAATTCCAACTACAATCAACTGGTTCTTGAAGCTTCAGAGGATAGATCTAAGCGACAATCAAATACTAGGTGCTATTCCAAGTGAGTTTTGCAATTTGCTGAACTTAGGAGAATTAAGACTTGGACAAAATATGCTCTCTGGTATGGTGCCTTCTTGTTTAGGAAACGTTACAACATTCAGATATGTTTATCTCAATTTTAACAATTTAAGTTCTATGATACCAACAAGCTTTTGGAGCCTTAGAGATATATTGGAGATAGACATGTCAGGAAATTATTTGACAGGCTCTTTGCCTGCTGAAATTGGAAACTTCAAGGCATTAGTCTATTTGAACCTTTCAAATAATCAATACTTGGGTGGCATACCTAGCACTATTGGAGCACTACAGGATTTGCAAGAACTCTCCTTGGAACGTAACAATCTACAAGGATTGATACCAGATTCCATCAAGAATATGTTGCAGTTACGGCATTTGGATCTATCTTTTAACCATCTGGAAGGTGAAATTCCCAACTCATTACAGGTACTATCAGATCTCCAATACTTTAATGTGTCTTACAACAGATTGAGAGGACCGATTCCTCATGGAGGGCCATTCGCAAATTTCACGAACCTATCTTTTCTCTCAAATGAAGCATTGTGTGGCGCTCCTTGGCTCCAACCTTGTACAAGTACATTTGAGCATGAATCAAGGACAAAAAGGATAGTCATGATTGTTCTATTGGCATCAGGTTCTGTCATATTAGCCTTGGTGATTTCAATTTTTTTGATGCGGTTAAAGTTGAGAAAGAAAACTCTAGCTGCGACTCAGAACTTGCTTCCCATGGCGACATTTGAAAGGGTGTCCCTTCACGAACTTAGACAAATAACAAATGGATTCAGCGTGAGTAACTTACTTGGCTCGGGGAGCTTTGGTTCAGTTTACAAAGGAATTCGTGAAAATGGGATGGTTTGGGCCATAAAGGTATTCAATTTACAGCTAGAAGGTGCATTTAAAAGCTTTGATAGAGAATGTGAAGTCTTAAGCTGCCTTCGTCATCGAAATTTAACTAGAGTAATTACTGCTTGCTCTAGCCTTGACTTTAAGGCTTTGGTGCTCGAATACATGCCCAATGGAAGCCTTGAGAAATGGCTTCATGTAAACCATCATGTCCTAAGTATCATGCAAAGGTTGGATATCACAATAGATGTGGCTTCTGGTCTGGAATATCTCCACTATGGTTATTCAACTCCTATAGTTCATTGTGATTTGAAACCTAGCAATATTCTCCTAGATTCAAGACATGGTTGGGCATGTTTGCGATTTTGGAATTGCAAAGTTGTTAGGAGATGGAGAATCGGTGGTACAAACAAAGACTCTTGCTACATTTGGATATATTGCCCCAGGTGACTTTTCTTGACTCAAATTTCGAAATTTTTATATCATTCAAATTAATGTTTCAACTTTGAACAACTAGTATGGTATGTCAAATATAAAACCTTTAAGAAAAAACATAAGTTTGCTGAACTGATACCAATACTTGACTTTAACAACGAGTTTCAAATTTTGATGCTAGAGTATGGACTGGAAGGATTGGTTTCAACAAGTTGTGATGTCTACAGCTTTGGAATTACATTGGTGGAGACATTTACAAAAAGAAAGCCTAAGGATGAGATGTTCACAGAAGAGTTAAGCCTCAGGCGTTGGGTACAAAATTGCTTACCAGATTCTGTGATTCAAGTTATAGACAGAGACTTGCTTCATCCTGAAAATGAACTGGTACAAAAGAAGATTAACTGCATATCATCTGTCTTGCAACTTGGTTTAAGTTGTACAACAGATGCCCCTGAGGAGAGAATAAACATGAAAGAAGTTCTAAGAGCTCTACAGAAGATCAAACTCCAGTTTATCAAAGACATCACACCTTGAAGCAGGTATAAAACCAATAATCCGATAGCAACTTTTTTTCTTCAATCATATGGTATATCAAATGCTTATTCCAAGGATTATTATTCATTCAAGTGGTACTTATGTTTTTCCACTCAATACATGGCAAAGCCCTGAGGTGCGAATGTATTTGAGGAATTTTTTGTCCTGACTTGGTGCACCACCGAAATGCTTAAAGTTAAAGGAAGGAATGAGATATGTTAATGTATTACGAATAAATTGTTTACAGATATAAAGACCTCAAGTTCATGATCCCAGCTTATATGTTATGAAACGCCAAGCATTTTACTTGGTGTTTATGTTTGACATATATATATATATATATATATATGGCAATTAAGTTGGTAATTTACTTTTAATTACTGATACAACTTTCCTCTTTTCAATTTTTGCAAATAAATGAGAAAAAAAATTGATTATCAGTATATATCACCATGTATAGGTACGCATAAGCATATGTATTTGTACATATAGAACATGCATATGGCATGCAGATTCATGCATTTATTTTATTACAAATTGCACATTTTAAAGGTGCAAAGAACAGCGATGGTAAAGTAGTTTCATGTGCAACAATTACTACTTAATAGAAATTCATAGCACTTTTTCAGGGTAAAATTGAAGCTTATATTTGTAATTATTGTTGAGGATAGTTGGAGGTTGTTAAAATTAATGATGTACCATTTCCTCAAGCTAGAAAATGGTGGGAACATTTGTTAAATATCTCAATTTTGAGAAATTACTCTGACGAACCTCTGCACTGGATTGTTGGTGATTTGGGAACAACTCATTCCATATATTCCTTTAACATTGGAAATAAAATAAAAATTCAGCATGTTCCACCTCCTTGGTTTTTATGCTTGAATTGAAGTGCAAGAGTGAAAATGGATTTGTAGAGGGGAGAAGAGCTCGCAAAGATTTGGAGTTAGAGGTAAGGAAGGAAAAAAATTCAACAAAAAGGAAAATAAGAAAACCCAATTTTTACCGATTCTTCCAATTTCCGATTAAACTCAATTTTTGGTCACGTTTGACCGAGTTTCTATCAACCCGAGTTTTTATAATAACTCAGACCAGACACTTGGTTAGTTCTCAATTAAATCAGCAGGTCTGATCCGAGTTTAAAAACATGGAAGAGTACATGAAAAGGCTGGTCTCAAGAAATCTTGACGGCCGCTTGGGGAGCCCAAAAACTAATCTTTCCTAGAAAGTAAGGTTAAAATAAAAAATGTATCTAAAAATATAGGACATGATGATAGATAAGGATTTGTACACTTTGAAGTAATTAAGGTGTGTTTGTTAAAGGGGCCGACCCCTTGAATACTTGTAGAAGGATGCTATAATAATTTACAATCGAATTACAAATTCTAACAAGACTTTAGATTGTGAAAAAAACCACGAAGGTTAAAAGTATAAAAGTAAACCATTCGGAATACATGTCTTGCAAATGGGTATACAACCTAATAGCATGTAATTAATTATCCACTATATTGTATGTTTGGATACTATCTTTACTGTAGAATTAGAATCGAATTGCAATTCCAAATCGATCGAATTCCATGGTTCCAATTCTTTGGCTCGACCAAAGAATTCCAATTCCATGGCAAGACTTCCATTCGGGTCAACGCGGACTTTAAAAGGATAAAAACTTCAAAACAGGTCAACTATAAAGCTGGATTAAAAAAAAATACAAAGCTGGCTTCTTTCTCTCTCTTCGTGAGCAAATCGCTCTAGCGTTCTCTGCCACCGCCACTGCCGGTGCCACCTCCTCTTCCCAACACCTCTCCCGTGACCCCTCCAGGCCTTTCCTCCCTCTTCTCTCCTCCGCAGCATCGTGTGGGTGAAATCGCTATATCTATTCTGCTATATCATGGTAAGCTTTCGTTCCACTGCATCTTCTCTCTTTCTATGTGATTTGCTTCTTCTCTAGATTTGCAAAACTAAGGTTATTCTGCTATAGATACAGCCCACATGATTGCTGATGACCATGTCGTAGATGTCAAAATCATACGTAAAAAGTAACAGAGAAGGAAAAGAAATTGTAGGAATCATCACATTTCTTCATAAAAGGGAATATGAAAAAAAAAGAAAAAGAAAGAGAAGACAAATTGCTATTATATCTTCTTTCACTTTCTGAAAAACGGTGTTTATGATCTGTAGATGTGGGTTTTCAATGTGGCTAAAAGGACTCCAGGCATAGTAGAAACTAGAAAGGGTACAGGAATAAAGTAAACAAGATGTTAAACGAGGACTTCTTGCATGACATTAGAAACTAAAAAAGAATTTACGACTTAAGCTGGTATAGAAAACTTCAATTTTTAGCACTGATTAATGCTAGAATTTATCATGGGACCAGATATTTGAGAATACATTTTTCTATTTCTTTTAGTGAGAATACATTTTTTAGACTTATACTGAGAATGCATTCTTGTAAAGAACCACGAATTTGTGTTGCAATATTTTCTATTTATATTGTCATTGTTGGTTGTGGTTTTTGTCTGAATGTAAAGAGCAATATACTTGGATTTCCGGCTGGACTTTGCCCAATCGTTGGAGTTGGTGGACACATAAGTGGTGGTGGCTACGGTTCACTGCTGCAAAGATATTGCCTGATGGTGGATAATGTTCTTGATGCTCAGATTATCGATGTTAACAGCCAGGTTTTGGATAGAAAAGCAATGGGAGAAGATCTTTTTGGGGCTATTAGAGGTGGTGGTAGTGCTAGTTTTGGTGTTGTTTTGGCATATAGAATCAGGTTAGTCAGAGTGCCTGAAATTCACACAGTTTTTAATGTGCAGAAGACTGAGGCAGAGAATGCACCAGATGTTCTTTACAAATGGCAAAATATTGCAGACAAAATTGACAACGATTTGTTCATTAGCGTTATTGTGCAGCCAATTACTGGAAAAGCAAAGGGTCAGAAAATCATTAGATTGACATTCATGGGACATTTCCTTGGAGATGCGAACAGGTTGATTTCTGTTATGAACACTGGATTTCCTTAATTGGGACTGAAGAGAAGTGATTATTTGGAAACAAGTTGGATTGATACGATGCTCTGGTGGTATAACTACAAGATTGGGACAGCAAAGGAAGTGCTATTGAGAAGGGCTTATGATCAATTGATCTTCTTGAAGAGAAAATCAGATTATGTACAGAACCCCATTCCTAAAGATGGATTAGTATCACTATTCAAGAAAATGGTTCAGCTTGGAAAAATAGGACTTGTTTTCAATCCTTATGGTGGAAGAATGAGTGAAATTCCTGAGAATGAAATACCATTTCCTCATAGGGCGGGGATCATTTTCAACCTGCCAGATTGGTGAAAGTGAAGGCTATCATGGATTTACAAAATTAATTCAGGAATGAACAGAGCATCCCCACTTTGAACCTTCAGACCTCAAAAGGGAGGAAGGGACGAAAGTAAAGAGCAACAAATGATAATCGCTCATATAGTAATGGTTATCAAGTAGCAGAGGTGCCTTGTCCTATTAATGGCTTTAGCATAAAATGTAGTGTTAATGAATGGATATAGTGAGCATTACTTTTGTAGCATCGTAGTACCGAATGGTTGGTTGTGCATTAAAGAGGCAAAAGTCATGTACATTCATGGATTGATTTCACTTATTACAGACCTTATTGTCTGTATAATCTTGTAAGATGCAAAACTCAAACATTTATAATAGGCACAAGCTATGACTTTCCTCTCCAATTCATATAAAAAAGTAGGCTTTTAATTTTCTAAATTTAAAGTTCTTAACTGTAAGAAAAATATCAAGGTTTTAACTTGATGAATATTAACTACTTTTTAAGTTAGAATATATAATTAGTTTTTTTATTTAATATAATTTAATTAAGAATAAAAGAAATAAGAATAATATTTTTTTTTTGCAAAAAAGGAACTAATTGGTTTTCTTTTTCTTTAAAGCTTTAGTAACAATTAGTTAAATGCAAGAAAAAAATAAATTATTAAAGGCATTAATTGGTTTTTTCCTTGAAGCTATAGTAATAGTTAGTTAAATATTAAAAAAATTATTACATAGTAAAAAGAAAAACAGAAAAATCTTATGTAAGCAAATGTTAGATGGAAACAATTCTAGTTCTTCATGAATTCTCCTCTCATCCAAACAAAGAATTTGAAATTTTAAATGAATTATGTATCAATTCTATGCATTTCCCAAACAAAAGAGTTTCAATATTTTGGAATTCCAATTTCTAGAATTTTAATTCTATAGAATTCCAATTCCAATTCAATTCCAATTCTGTAGAACCAAACGCACTCCATCAGGCATTGGAGAATGTTCAAGACTCCAAGTTTTATCTTTGTCTTACAATAAATTCAGAGGATATATCCCAAAAGGAGTTTGGAATCTAACCACGTTAACACTTGTACATTCGGGTGATACTGACCTGACAGGTAAGCTACCCACTTGGCTTTACTTTGAAAAATTCTTTTGCATATTCGAGCTATCATTTCACCACAATTAATTGTTTGTATGGTTAAAAGTCCAGATGCACTTAATGTATTTAATTAAACTGTATTTAAACTTAACTTAATGTTTAACTAAACTTAATGTTTAGTGATAATTAAACTTAATGTTTAATTAAACTTATTTAAGTGATAATTTCTATCCCTCATTTAAATACCATCCCTCATTTACTTGAAAAAATAAAAAAATAAAAAAATAAATAAAAGCTATTCCAATTTCCAACTACAATCAAATGGTTCTTGGAGCTTCAAAGGAGAGATCTAAGCAACAATCAAATTCAAGGTGCTATTCCAAGTGACGTTTGTTATTTGTTGAACTTAGGCTATTTAGATCTAGGACAAAAAAAAAAAAAAACTCTCCATATACTCTATCCATGAGGTTTAGTTAGTTAGGAGTGTAAGCAAAATTTGGTCTAGTCAAAATAGAAACATAAAATTGGCACTGCAATGGAACTATTCCACTTGCAAATAACTTTTTTTTTTGAATGCCGAAGAG